ACACAGCGGGATAAAATATAGTCCGGCCGGAGCGACGTCCATAAAACGATGCAACTACAAGATTGCCTATAATTATGGGTTGTGTGCTCTGTCGTCTCCGAAATCCTTCACAAAATTGGTTTCACTTTAGGTATGGCACGATATGACCATGGAGAACGGAAAATATCTCTGTGTGAGGAGTATTCGTTCCAAAACATTACACTCTGATTAGTTCGGTGTATTCTTTTGGGTCACTTTGCTTTTTATCCTCTCTCCATTTTTATTTCGGTGTGAAACGCGATAATTCCCCTTTTTACTACGTGAACATTGGCAATTAAATGGTCGGAGCGCCGCGATCACTGATTGACAGCTTTTACGGAATCGGTCGGGCGCGTTTTATTTTCGGTTTTATTATTTTATTCCTGTTCTAAAAGGACGAAGAGGTAACAATAGAGGAATGGGTGGAAAAAAAAAGGGAAAGGAAACGGCGGTGTGACCGAGGGGGAGGGGGATTGCGCAAACGATTATTAGCACTTAATAATGAGTTCGGTAACAGCGGCGAGTTATGTGTTTAGAGGTTTTATGGTCTTTGTGATGCTGGTGACAGGTAGATGGGACCGAAATTGTCGTTTGTCACCGAGCGGTATGCTGCTAACGGCAGGGGGCGACCACCCCCTGCTAAAGTCAGGTGCCACAAGGTACCACCTTTGAAAATACCGACATCTCTCTGCGTGCTAAGAGAGAGAGAAGATGGATTTGAGTGAACGAGTGGAAGAACGACGGGAATAAGAATAAGAAGAAGATGATGACCACAGGAAAAAAAATATAAAATAAAGGAGAACATAATGAAACAACGAAATTCCGCCCTCGGCTTACATAATATACATGCTTATTGTTTTATAACGAACGATTTTGGGACCGGGACCTCCTGACAAGCGGACGGGATTTATTTTGGAAATCCTTTCTGTCGGTGGCGATGCTGGTGCTGGACAGGATGGGAACAATTCCGTTCTTGAGTGGTTGCGTTAATTTCTGGGATTAGTCGGGTGGCGCTAATATTTATGGCGGATGATGCGAAACGTGCGTTCCTCCTCGGCATCTGCGTCTCCCTTGGTGAGAGAGCGGACCTTAATGATCGTAACCGATTGCAGTCCGAGACAATGAATGCGAGACATACATATATCATATGGCCAAGTCATCCTGGCAGGTATGGCTTTGAGCTGCCGCAAACTAATTCCGAGCTGGCCTGGCGGAGGGCGGACCTGCGTGTCTGTCACTTGCCACCGCCCGATCCCGACCTCGCCGTCGATGCCAAGCGGTGGCGCGCTCTACCATGGTATATGGCATGGCAAGACATCTTATGGTATGGTATAGTATGGTATGGCATGTGCATCGTGGCCAGCGTACGGATACACACACATACACACACCGCCCCCATCCAGCGATCTCATCGCCGACGAAGCCGCCCAAGACACAAGACAGAGAGACCCTCTCGCACTTATCACCAATCTCGAGCCAACGCACACACAGCACAAATATATAATCACCGTGGCCGTGCAAGCGACTCCTCTCCACCTCCTCCATCCTTCCTAGCGAGCAGTCATCTTCCTGAGCGCTCCTCACCTCCGCTCCCGGCTCGTACGAAATGTGCCAATTATATACCCATAAACTTCCCCATCGCGATAAGTATGTGAACCTTTTTATGTGACATCGGCACACGGCCCAGGCATTTTCGTTTTCGTATAGACAGCCATTAGGAATGTAAAACAAGTCGTTATGCTGGGTGTTTACAAGTCATAAAGGAGACCAGATAATATATTTCATTTTCGGTTTCTTTTGGTTCCGCCTTACCTGGGCTGGGACTCATCGAACTCCACTGGGTCGCTGCGGTTTCCGAGCGGACCGCTCCGAATCATCATAACAGTCCCGGAGATGACCATCTCTTCGCCTTCCAATTTTCATATTGAACATTTCGTCACACATGCGGTATTCGAATACACGTGAAGAAGGAACGAGAATAAGAAGAAGAATAATGAGAAGAAGAAGGGCTTGCGAAGATGATTAGTGTGGTCAGTTAGTTTTCCAATGAGTACCGTGTCCAAGGGATAACAACGCGCCTATTCTCTTCCTCCCTTTGTACCTGTCTTTTCTATGCGCAGCCTCCCCCTTTGTCCACGAGAAAGAAAGGAAAATCGAGAATTCATTTAATTATACATAGGCGAAACGCAATCAATTGATACCTATCCACTTTGTTGAAATTAATGGCGATCATCCCTCCAGCATCCATTACGAAATCTTCGCATATTTATTTGACAATCTATCAGCCGCTAAGCGATGCTCTCTAGCAAAGGGTGAGAGGCCGAGGCCATTAACGCATTTTCTACGCGCGACTTCCTTAAGAACTTAACAAACTTTCATCGCAATTCTGATTTATGCCGTCTACAATCGGCGACATCGATTTGTCAGCTGGCGAAAAAACGAGACCAGTTGAAAATAAACTAGAACAAATATATGTACATAATGAAAAGGATATTTTCGAGAGGTACACCGAGTTGAGTGGAGCGCCGGTGGTCGGAAGGGATAATACCATTAGCTTTAATAGAAGTTACTAAAATGTTTACATTCCTCCATTATACTTGAATTATTGTCCACTCGGCCGGTAATCCGACTGTCAGATGGGGTTAAGATGCGTGCTTGAAATTTGCCAATTGTTCCGAAATTACTTTGCTTTTGTCGGTGAGGCAGGCCCACCCATGCCGGGACCAGCAAAGCTCGACTTAGCGCCATCCAGAAGCTAACGATTTCTTTTTATCCTCGGATAACGATAATTATTAAATCCCGAAAGCTTCAACTCCGATACACTCAAAGCAAAGTCAGAGAAGCAAAAAAAAATAATATATATATATATAAATGCGAAACAAAAGGGAAAAGAAGAAGAAAAAAATAAAAAGTTTCCCCTTCGAAGTTACTTTGAAAACACTTACGCCGATTTCTTAGTCTCACAACTTCTCAGTGGAGATCATCAATTATTAATCAATTGCTTCTCACGCAAACAAACAAATTAACGTTTACAGAACTACGGTAAACTCAGCGCGGAAATAATACACATTAAAAAAGTGCAAGCAACTTGCAAGATGCTAAATCAATCAAAACTTTCTATGTTACAATTCTATTTTAAATTATCGATGCACTTGGCTTCATTTTTCAATTTAAATAATCAATTATATTAATTGACAACTTATTTTTGGAAAGTAACAATTTTCATTAGAATTCAATCAAATTGTATTATCAATTATTTTTCAAATTAAGAAAAAAGTGTATAAGAATTGACTATAATAAAATGATAATATTAGTAATAATAATACATAAAAGTTGCGGTTGACAGTTTTTAAAAAGTCTTTTCACACGAACATAAATATATACTTGTAGTTTTATAGAGAGTTTTAAAAGAAGCCTGAACCTTACTATAATAATAAGATCATAGAGTTCTCTCTACTTTTACGAGCCTTGTATTTTTATTGGATCCGAAATAAAACCGAACCGGCTATCCCCTATGTTCTTTTTTTATTGCAATATAAACCGAATTATTTTATTTTGTATTTACATCAGCAAAGTTAATTTTCAACACAGGCCGTTGTTTACTTTTATAGCAACATCGAGTTTAAAACCACAATATTTATACGGAAAATGATTTACACCGAAAAATTTCAACTTGTTTTGCACCCATTTTCTATATATATATTTTTTTTACCTGATTCTTTTTATTACCATCTTCAAGTACATTATTGTATTGTAAATCTATACCATAATTCTATAACTTCAATATCTTTATTTAATATAATATATTAAAGTGGCAAATTATGATTCAAGTAAGAATTTTTTTTATAAGAAAATACAAACTTCACAACAATAAAATGAAATTAATCATTATTTTGATATTTTATTGTATAATGGGATTGAAATAAAAATTGTTTTTATTATTTATTCAGTATATTGAAAAAATGCCTGAATGTTGAATTATAAACTGAAGTAGCTTTGCAATGTTTTTAAATACTTCATAAATTATATTCTTAATAACTTGATTCCAAACTATTTATAACAATGTATAATAATAAAATGTTTATTGCATCAGTCGTACAAAAAAAAACATATACAGAAATAAAAAGAACAAAATATATATAATTTAAAAAAAAGTTAAATGATACAAAGGGCCATAGGTTTTTCTGTCCTAACTATTTATATTTGTATTCTATTTAGAAAATTATGAAGTTGAATAATAACAATGTTAATTGCATCAGTCGTACAAAAAAAAACATATACAGAAATAAAAAGAACAAAATATATATAATTTAAAAAAAAGTTAAATGATACAAAGGGCCATTGGTCTTTCTGCCCTAACTATTTATATTTGTATTCTATTTAGAAAATTATGAAGTTGAATAAAAGAAAAATATTTTGTTATAATGAGAAGAAATATTTCGTTTTCGCTTTTGAAAAATTTAAATTGAAAAGACGAGATATTACAATTGACAATTGCGTGAGATTGTTTTCAATTTCTTGTAAGAATCGTTTGAGTTGTACTCCGAAAAATTGTTATATAAAGGGGTGGAAAATAAAGAATCTATTGTTATTAAGCGATTCGGATAGCGAAAATGAAAATTGTTCTCCGCTTGAAGGTGGTTGTGTCTGTGCAGACTGTTTCAGTTCGATATTCTGAAAGGACTTGGAGTTTCTCATTTGGTGTTGTCGATTTTTTTTAAGGGTGTTTGTTGTTTCTGTCTGTTCTGCTTTGGTGCAGGGAAGATCGGTAGGGTAGACAGGGAGAGAAGTGGATCCACGTAAACGGAGGGGTTTTTCGCAGGTCCCGTCGAGCACCGGTAGAGGTATAGAGCGTCGGGTCGGGTCCTGGGTCTTGGGGGCCGCGACGTCACCTACGCGTCCACCTTGTCAATATACCATCCCCACCAAAAAACCCCGCCTCCATTGCGCACGCTGAGTAGTAACCCCCCACTTTGTTGCAGCACTGGACAAGTTGGGAACGCGACATCTCTTCACCAACAGTGCTCCTGAACCAGTGCAACCCAACGCGGCATTTGACATCGCAAGTTTGGTCCTATATGGATGTCAAGCGCTGCCGATCCGATTGAAGATACTCCTAGATAGACTGTTTTCTGTGCTCCAGAAGGAACAAGTGCTTCAAGTGTTGCATGGATTCGGCTGGACACCGGAAGATTACGCACGCGGATACATCCTTCAGGTAAGCACCGATAGTTTATATTGATATACCACCACCTTTCGGTTTAATTTATGATGGACTTTCGCGAACTCTCTTGGACTTCGATTCCAATTGGACCATCGAATCATCGGATTTGATTCGAGATGCTGTAGCGCTCGCGGCGCGCCGCGCCGGCCGACGTCCGACGCTTCGCAACTTCTGTATATCATATAGTCCCATCCATTTAACTTGAATAGATTCGTTAACTTTCCCAGTGCGGCATTGAAATCACACGCGATTTGATGGGAACGATTACTATTGCCGCCAATCAACGGTAAAGATGCGTGCAATAGTGATTCCTTAAAGTATATACAGTCCAGATTGAATGTTTCGTACACACTAACATATACATATACCTGGACTGTTTGCATAATTTATGCGGCCGCACTCGGTGTCCAATTCATGCGTACTGAACACAGGTATCATGGCACGAATGTATTTGGACCTTATTAATATTTAAAACATTAGACTAGGTAATTTCGTGCAAGGATATGTTGTATTCCGAATCACAGACACTAAAATTATAGAGTATTTTGCATATCATTTTACCAAGACGCAATAATTTGAGAGGTATGGGTATAATTTTAAAAATAAGTGCCTTTCTTCCTCTCGCTGCTGCTCGTTGTTGTTTTATCCTTTCATGTTGTTATTTTTTTTTTGTTGTTGTTGTTTCCTTTAAATTTATTCTTTTTCTCTCCGCCTCGGATGCTGCTGCGTCTCTCATCCGATACAGATTTTAAACTGGTCAAATTTTACACGGTTTTATGCGGTAGGCTATGTCGGTTCATTATTAAATGTGCCGTTGCCGTTGGGTGATTGCCGGTTGGGCATTACCGTTGGATGGTGCTTACTGTTTCATTTGCATTAGGAATTCATTAATCCGTCGGTTCATCGGCTGCTAATGTTTGCGTTAATTATTCTACAACAATATTTATGCTGGATTAATGCTCACTTCACTTACGCTCACCGGGTAGTTATCAATTAGTACTTGGTTATTTATAAACGCGCGAGAGACATTCAGCAGACATCCATTCTAAACATTTGCCGCGGAGGCTGTCGATATATTTTTACATCCATTAACAACAACACACACACACACACAAAAATGTATTTATGTATGCGCGGCGAGATCTAATCATCGCTAATCTCAAGCTATATTTGGACGTTGCAGGAGTCGCACGGCAGCTCATTGGACAGATGGAGCATCTGCAGTCCTGAAGAGGAGCCATTGGTTCTTCAGCAGTTTCTAAGATTCGGCGAGACGAGGGCCATCACCCAGCAACTGCTTCTTGCACAACAGGTGCTTCAGGAACCAACGCTGGAGCGCCTAGAGAGGCTATCATCGCCGAACTCGCGTCGGGCTATGTCACCCAGCCGTCGCCCTTCGTCACCAACTATTCCATCTGCTTTCCACCCTTCTCGTTTACCAACCATGTCACCTCACCAGAAGCATCCTCTCAGTTTCTTGAAGCTACCCCCGACGAACGGTCCAGTCACAACTTCCCCTTCGAGGAGCATGACTTCCAGCCCGCTGAACACATCACCATTGAATAGGCTCCAGAACATGCAACCATTCGACTTTCGCAAACTTGGTGCCGGACTAGGCACTTTTCCAACTAGATTAAGTCCAGATCTCTCCAGTCGTCGGCGAACATCAGAAAGCGATCAACCTGTTGGCCTAAATCTCACTATGTCTACCTCTCTTCCAACGTGCTTGCCTCCTCCACCTCCACCCCCAATCTCATCATCTTTAAACCACTCTGCAGCCGCAATGGCCGCCGCCGTATCCGTCAACTCATTGGCAGCTGCCAGTCTGGTAGCGTCTTCTTTCCCTGGATTAATAAACACGAAGATGGCGACCGGTAGCAGATCACCATCTACTTCTGACTTACTCAGCAACAGCGGCCACACTGATTTCGCTTCCGAAGAGGACGAGGACATGGACGAGAACTCGCACAGCGTTTTGAATTTAAGCCGCGACAAAGATGTATTGAAGCCACCAAAGCATACACGTTCCGTACCCGGACGAAAATCCACAACACCCACTAAAAGGCATTGGGGTTCGCCGAATCTACCTCTGAACCTGGGAACGCAATTCATCAACCCGGCGACAGGCAAGAAGAGAGTACAGTGCAATGTGTGTTTGAAAACGTTCTGTGACAAAGGGGCACTCAAGATCCACTTCTCCGCCGTACACCTACGCGAGATGCACAAATGCACGGTGGAAGGATGCAACATGATGTTCAGCTCGAGGAGGTCGAGAAACAGGCACAGCGCAAATCCAAACCCGAAACTACATTCCCCGCATCTACGCAGAAAAATTTCCCCGCACGATGGCAGAAGCGCCCAAGCACACCCAATTTTAATCCCACCGCAACCGGGACTTACCCTTCCCGCTGCTGCAGCTGCTCTCAATCCCCTGAACCCGTTCAGTCCTTTCCCGTTGTTAACACCGCCCCCAGACATGAGACACCACTCCGCCCTTGCCACCATGGACTTCAAACATAGTTTAGACCTCAGCGTCCAGAGGCATTTCGAGGATAGAAACAATTCATCCGACTACAACTCGATGCCTCTTTCCATCAGTCATCACGAGGACGAAGAAGACGACGACGATGATGGTATTGTGGTAGTTGGCGGCGACGAAGATGAAGAACCTGAAAAAGCGGATACGTCTAACGGAATATCCGATCAACCGGAAGATTTCAGCATGCCATCGAAACGACTGAAGATGTCCATTTCAGATGCGGATGAAGATATTGTTAGTAATGTGGATAGCAATGAGGATTCGTTGAGTGTGGTGGACACCCACAGCTTGAAGGACGAGTGCAGTTTACCTACGAACAAGAGAAAGCGAAAGAGCCAGAATCCCACGCGCTGTACGATTCCCATGATGATGGACGATACGGTATCCGACGGTGAGTCGTCGAACGACGTCTTCGCCGATCCCATCCAACCGAAGAAAGAGCGAGAACTCGAGGTCGTAATCAAGCAGGAGGAAGTGAAATCGACCGATTCAAAAAACGGGAAACCCGCTAGCCCAAAATGTGAGTCCCCTTTGGATCTAGGCAAACGCAGCAGTGTTCCGGATGTTAATGCGAACGAACCGGAAAAAAGCGAGATCAAGACCAGCCTAGCGCCACTGTTCATGTTGGACAAAGTGAAGAAGGAAAAGCATACCAGTGAAATGGAAATGGCCGAGGAGCCGGAAGAGAGGCCTGCCAGTTCCGTGGAGAGCAATAAGAGCGACGAATCCTTCGACTGCTCCAACGCTCTTCGTCATTTGGAGAGCTTGTCGCACGGACACTTTGGTGATTTAATGAGCAGAGGACTACATTTGGGGCTAGCGGGACAGAGCCCACAGTTTCCACCTTTGGGGTTTATGATGGGTGGTGGCCCACCGAGCCCTGCCAGGTCGCAGGCATCTTCGGCGGGCAGTTCGAATGGTGGAGAATCGCCGGACGAAAATAGCCAGAACCAATTGTTCGGTCACTTCGATAACGGTCAATTCATCAGCACCATGGATGTGCCGATCGATAAGGATAATCCCAGGCGGTGCACGGCGTGCGGAAAAATATTTCAAAACCACTTCGGCGTGAAAACGCATTATCAAAATGTGCATTTGAAACTGATGCACAAATGTAACGTAGACGGCTGCAATGCGGCGTTCCCATCGAAGAGGAGTCGCGACAGACACAGTGCCAACCTGAACCTCCACCGGAAGTTGTTGTCCACATCATCTGAGAAGTCTGCAGCCAGTCTGTTCATGGATAAGTCTCCGTTCGCTTCGCTGGCCGGTCATCCGGCGTTGCATAATGACCTCTTTGCCAGATTATACGCGGAGGAGGCGTTCAAAGGGCATAGCCATTTGCATTCGCCTGCCACCCTCGAACAGCTGATGCTGAATGGCGACAGGCTGCCGCCGCCCCCGCTCTTGCTGCCGCCCTTGGCCGGCCTCCCGTTCCCGCTGGGGAGCTTCACCCCCTTCACCCAAATGAACGGATCCTCTGTATCCAGCCGCAAGGACAGATCTTCTAGTTCCAATTCGCCGCTGTCGACGTCGTCACCGCCGCCAACGCTGCCGCCCACAATCTCCTCCCCCGGCTTAGTGCACTGCGTCGAGGAGGATATTCCGTCTCTGGACAAGGACGGCAACCTGCCCTGTCGGATGTGCAGGTCGAGTTTCAGTGGCGTGTCTCAATTAAAGGAGCACTGTGAAAAGCATCACCTATTCGAGATGCATAAATGTACTGTAAATGGTTGCCCCAAGGTGTTTCTATCGAAGACCAAGCGTAACATACACGCCGAGAATGAATCACTGCATCAAGATATCATTAGAAAAGGATTCGAAAGTACAGTTTCGTGACCGTTCTTGGACTCTAGAGTACCTTTATGGTGGTGATCCTCACACACAAACACACACAAAAACAATCACACACACATTTACACCGACACAAACACTCACATAACAAGAAAAGAACAAAAAAAACTTATTTAATCTTTAGATAGTTTTGATATATGTGATTTATTGTATATTATCCTTTATATAGTTTAAATTCTTTTTATGCCAGTTATATCTTTACCTATTTATTATGCTTGTAATATAAACAAACATACACAGACAACACATACACACATGTATATGTGTATATATATACATATTGATTGAGGATATACAAAATGAGCTATGTTAATATTAATTGCGCTGCTATACCGGTGCTTCTTTACATTTTAAATGAAGTAAATACATTTCGTATGAAAAATTAAGTAACGATAAATGCCAGTCTTGCAGAATACTCATTGTACATATATGATAATATTATTAATAATAATAATAATCTATCTATCCTTTTTATTTTTAATTAGAATAGGCGATCTCTGATTTGTTGTGATTTAGACTCATTCTACTACCCTCGATGTGAATATTACAATTGCTCATTTATCGAATATGTAATTTAGTTGAATAAAACAAAACGAACAAAAAAAAAATAAATATTAATTGTAATACATATATAAGAATTTCATGAAGATGAAGATGAAAAAAAATAATAATAATTTACGCCAATCCCGGAATCCATTTGAAATATTCACCACACCCCTTGTTATCGATAAAATAATAGTAACGTTAATGATATAAACAAGAAATACAAATTATTTTATACAGACGTGAATGATGTAATATCGTAATTTAAGAATTGTATATTTGTCAACTTTTTAAATGTGCAATAACTGTGTATATAATATATATATACTGAAGCCCAACCCTCCCCCCCCTTTGCCTGTTTATGTATAGATGTGTATATAAAAAAAAACTACTATTATTCACCCGATCCTCCGGATTTTGAATGTATACGAGGTAAACGAGGAAATTAAACTAATAAAAAGATTTAAGGAAAAAAAAATGGAACATCATAGTTTCTGCTTTTTTTCTTCATGTTTTTTGAAAAATATGTTGGAAATGAGAAATATATATATAAAATAAATATTGAACAAAAAAAAAATGAAAGAAAATAATTTCCATTAGTTATTGCATATATTCAGTTATTGTGTACAGTGATCGATTGTAATAATTTGCCTTTTGGCTTTAATAAAATATAGCTGATGTCGTCTACCTGCTTGTTTCATTTTCATTCGATTGTCCCCTTTCAATTTTTACTCCGCTCTTCACGTTGCGAGTTTTATTTTTTTTTGGTTTGTTGTTGGCATATTCTTATAATCACCCGTCGATAACCGTGGTGTGATCATGTTGTTGCCGCAACGGATTGGGTTGGGAGGGGGCTGTGTATACAGGCTGAGGCTGAAGAAGGAAACGAGAAGTAAAAAGAAGAAAGAAAGAATACGAAAACGAGAACAGCAACGAAAAGCACGTGATTAATTTACAATTAATTTAAGACTATAAGAAAACCAGAAAATTACATATAATTTAACTAATTCTTAATTGCTACATTCTGAGAAAGACCCATATCAAAAGTTGGGGTCTAGGCGGTCGCAGCGTGTTATTAAGGTGTCACATGTATGCGCGGACAGTCGCGGCCCGTCCTGGGTTTGGACCGGGTCGGGTCGAGTTGGATCTGATCCGACCCGGTCCGTACCTAGGTTGCGTTTCACGCGCTCCACGCTATTTATTTTGATTGGCCCGGCGCAAAGTACACAGCCATTATAATGAAATTTATGCATTGTTTTGTGGCCCGACCGACCGGACGGATTTATATTAAATATTTGAGATGTTCTCGAAATATAATGACCCAGGTCGGACGCGGGCCGCGAGGGGTCGGTCGGACCCGGTGTAGGTGTTAGGTGTAGATGCAGATGCGGCCGAACGGAATTGACATTTGAGAAGTCGGTAAAGATATTGTTACAAGTATAATGTATACCTTCCCAGCGTGCGGCGATCTCTGGAATAGCGTACAAGACCGTTGAGAGCTCCGCCGGTAATTATAGAATGATTTACGCGCTCATTTTGTGTATACTCTTCGGTTATTTAAATTGCCCATGGTACCTTGTCGTGAACCCATATATTAATAATAGACCCAACGTTTTCAACGCTAATTCATTACTAATCACTTACGCACGATCGCTCTACGATTACCTTATCATCATCCCAATGACATAACGCTTGGTCCTCCGACACCTCCGACTTACACTTCTATTTTCCTACCTCATTTTTCCCCTCATCATCCTGATTTTCCCCAACAAAAACACCGTCATAAATCCATGAATCCCCGATCTCGCCATCATATTTCTTCTCTCCTC